GTGCTGAAGCATTTGGAGAAGATTGCTGATCCCCTCTACAGGTATGCTGAACAACTCGCTGCCCGTCTTGAGCTCCAAAACTGGACTGTGTGTGCTTTCTTCCAGGAAGATTTAAATACCAGTTTTGGGAGTCGTAAATGTTTACGTTAATACCTAGAAATTACTGTCTTTCTAACTCTTTTGCTAATAGAGTTGTGCCACGAACACAGCCGTCATCTGTTGTGACGTTCTCCAGCTTTTCAGGCCCTGGTGCAGATGTTTGGTTGTGGTCTTAGCCTAGCACATGGGGTTTTTTGGATGATGCTGGTGGCAGCTAATTTCTGAGTAGACACCCCCCTGTCTACTGCCCTCCCCATCTGCCTCCTCACATTTGCCCTGCTTTGTCTGATCTCTGTTGTCTTCTTGGGTAATAAATTCTAATCAAGACATTTTTTTGCTCTTTTCTCTACAAGAGACTGCGATAATCCTGTGCCCTGTTCTTTCTGCTCAACGGTGCTGCATCAGGCTTGACTGGGCCTTTGGTGTCCTAAGGCCAGATTAACACCTCTTCCAGCGGTCTGGGTGATGGTACTTCCACCGCTCTGCAGCATGCCTTAGGGAGCAGTATCTCCATCTTTTGGGCATTTTGTATCTGCACAGCCTGGCCTTTGGTGCTGTCTGTCTTTTCCTGAAGGTCTGAAAAGTCAAGGAGAGGGCAGAAGCTTACACAGGAGCCTGAGAAAGTTGGCAAGAGCATAGGCAAGACCCTGAGTTTCAACATGAGTGAGTGGTAGGCTCTGCTGCTTAGGCAATTGTGCTGTGCTTGTGAAGTATCCGCTTCTCTGCCCGCAAAGGGAGCATCACCCACTGGCGCGGTGGGCTGCCTGGCCTCCTGCACTATGATGGAGCAGTTGCGTATTAAATAGTCTCATGATCCTTCCCAGGCTCCGATAGTGAGCTTTTTTTTACCACTGCTCCTTCTTCAGGTGTTTAGGCTGTCCTGTGCATCCTACATTGTTCTTCCTGAAGTTGCTGAACATGTTGAGGGAGTACTTGCTTTGCTTACAGTCATTCAACCTGCTTAACAGCTTCCTCTGCTCATTTGATTTGTGGGACAGAAGAGATGTTTGGGACTCATCCTTCCACTGAGAACGCAGAGCAGGAGCTCCCACGAGCACGATTCCACCTTCTGCTGTTATATTTCAGTGGCTGCTCCAGGTACGATGTGCTGGGAGCAGCCAGGGAGTTTAGGTCAAGTGGCAATAGATCTGCTTGAGGGACCTGGGGCAGAGTAGCGTAAACAAATTCCTGCACACAAGTGCAGGAACCAGAAATATCTACTGTCCTGTTCTTACTGTGTTCTTACTGTCTTGTGCAGGTATGTTCATGTAGGAGGACCCTGCAACATGTTGCTGAGGCTGGATCCTGCTGGTGTTGGCGTACTACTGCAGCTCTCCCAGGAGGTAAGAGCTTCTTCGTGCTTATTTAGGAAGCAGGGAGTCTTGCACGTGCAAAGCCTTCATTAACCATTACGTCACTGACTAAAAGAGTGACCTGGGCTCTTTCATTCCTCATCCCACCTGCCAGCCTGCTGGTCTGCTCCACATCCTGTCAAAGCCAGGCATCTTAGGAGGGTTTGCTCATTGTCCCACATCCTGCCCTTCATACCCTCTTCCTGCTGGTAACTAGACCCATTGATGTTACAATGCCCAATTCTATTTCTGCTTATTTCCTTTGGAAGGAGAGAAGGAAGAGGTGTCTGAAAGTGTTTTTTCACATGTTCAGTACAGGGCAGCAGCCTGGGGAAGAGGCACGCTGTGGTCCTCCTCATGACAGCTGTGAATCAGCACCCCGAGCAGCTCAGGGCTGGACCTTCAAGGGCCACCAGAGCAACTCCATGGCCACACGTTGGCTTCACGTGGCACGTGGGTAGTAGGGACCTCAAAGCGGCAAGTGGAAAGAACCTATGTGCTGGGCACACCACTGCGCCGGGAGCCAGCGGAGGAGGTAGGCTTGTCTGCCTTCCCTGCCATCACTAGCGGTGAGATCATTTGGCCTGTAGCTGGCAACTGGTGTCCAGTGCCCTCCTTCAGCCGAGTGGGTGCAAAGCTGTCTCTCCCCTGGTTTGGAAGAGTCTTAACATACGAATGGAAAAAATGAAACAAGGAATCTGTGTGCTGCTGCTGTGTTTGGAAGAATGATTCTGTAATGCCATGGTCGGGAACCTCAGGCAAAAAACTGGGACGTGACTTTGCGCTGCTCTGTGAGTTCAGTGCTGACGCAGATCTCAGTGCAGTAACTAAAATGTGGACTTTTCTTATCTAGTTGCGTTTGCTGTTTACATCTGGCCAGTGAATTCTGCACAGTGGAACGTGGCTATGCAGATGCCTTCCAGAAATGCCTATAGATGTGTGTTTGAGCACCATGATGTTTTGTGGTGGAAGATGTGGATTTCAGTCTGAAATAAAGAGGTGGGGGAAAAAGCAAATCTGGGTTCTTGTGTTCCCAGGTGAGTGTTCTCCAAGAACTGTAGTATCATGAAACAAATTGGTAGGCTCCCTTCCATTTGTGCTTGAAGAGGAAGCAGCAGGTACATTTTGTGGAAAGCCCAGGCAGGGTGTTTGTGTTTGGTGAGCTCCAAGAACATCTGTAGTGGGACACAGGAATGAAGTATTGCCTAATGCTTGGATCCTGACTGAGCTCAGGTACCAGCCAGAGTATAGCTGCCTAGGGACATTGACTTGGAAGTGGGACTTGGGGTGTGTGTTTAGCCAGAGGGAATTTTCCCCATGGCTTTCTCTTGTTGATTGCAGTAGGTGTGTAGACAACACTTCCAGATAAGATCCTTGCTTTTAGCTGGCAAAAATTGGCTGATGGGATTCCCACATCCTGTGTTGGCCAGTCAGCCTGTGGAGCGCCGATTATAGACATCCCTTTGCCAGACAGCAGGGACAGGGTACCTCTCATCTAATTTTAGATGTCTGCATGGTAAACCTCTGTCACTGACTTTGGCAGCCTGAGCTCTCCTTCTGCTCCGTGGAGAGAGATAAGCACTTTTGTGGCACATTTCACCTGACCTGTTTCAGATGTCTGCTGCAGGGTGAGGTAACTGACTCCCTAGAAATCTCTGCCTCTCCCCACCACCATTGAAGAAGCCCAGCCTGACGAGCTTGGCTGGAGATGTTTACATCGTATGTGCTGAGGTCCATGAGAAATTATGGGAGCGAGAGTAGATCATTACCAAACACCAGCTGGAGACAGTGGAAATCCCTTTACAGAATCAGCAGCAGTTGTTTATCTGGCAGAAAGCATGCATTTGATGTCTTTTTTTAAAATTCACACTCTTTTCAGCTCTTTAGGAGGGCAAAAAGTAGGCTGATGGTACCCTTCTTTTATGTTATCACCAAGGTGACATTATCACCCTGGCAAAGCAGCTCCAGAAAAAGGCCCATCATGTTATAGCCCCTTCCCTTTGTTTTTTCCCCAAACTTCCTACATTGTGTTGGGCTGTTCACCTCACATTGTAAGTTAATGTTACTCTTTAAGCTGCTCTTAGACTTATTTACACCTGTAACACTTCTATGCCAGCAGCTTTATTATGATTTTGCCCCATATCTATTGTCCACAGCTGCTAACTCTGCACCTGTTTGCTGCATTGCAGCACAGCTCTGGCAGGCAACTTAGATTTTCTGATTAAATGTACCTTTGCTTCTGTTCTTGCAGTTTGCACAGTCCCGGTAAGAATTAGTTCTGACTTCAGGGATCTAAAGACTAGACAGCTAATCTAAACTCATCATCCCACCCCAGCTGTAGACCATGGAGAGTGATAGTCCCTTGGGGACACGATTCATCCCAGCTGACTTAGAACTTAGGGTCTGAATGTGCTGGTTCACACTGGGCATGGCTGCCTCTCTCCACTGACTATAGCCTGGTGGTTATTAGAGAGCAGACATTTAGCTTTTAGATGACTTAATTTATCCTGGATTCATTTGATCTGCAGGGTTTTTGTAACTTGTTGATAAAAGGCTGGCCGGTGAGATCAGCTATCCAGCCAGTTCTTCATTCTCTGGTTAGCCGCTGTGGAGTTCAGTAGCTCCAGGGTAAGTGAGCTGAATGGGGTGGGGGAGGTCCGCTCTGCGGTCTGGGGACTCCTGCGTGCCTCCTGCGCACAATTTTTCTGGTACTGCATTGTTTTCTGGGTGGTGCATTCCTAACGTAGCATTTTAAATCACATATTAATGTCTGCCTGTATTGTTTCTCCAAAAATAGCTCCATGATGCTTTTGGAAAGCTGGAGTTAACTAATCCAAAAAACCACAGCATGTGGGTAGTGTTGTCATTCACATAGCACCAGACTCCGAAGTTTGAATGTCCCTCCCTCGAAGGATTTCCAGGGAGGTGCTAAAAGACCACATGAGCTAGTGCTCTTGTAGCCTGTGGTACCTGATGAGATGAGCTGTGCTAAGATTCTTGCTGTCCTTCATACAAACACTGTGATATCAACAAAGGCGGTGTCTTGGCTTCTCTGCCGGCTGCCAGTCTAGCAGAGCCCGGGCTCCCAAGAAATGCTAAGGAGGAGCGTTAGCTATGGTTCAGGGATGAATAAGTTTCTTGGCCAAGTCTGATTACCCACTTGGGATATTTGTATTTCATTATAACTGACACTGAGAAGCGTATTTGATTTGGAACAAATTTCAAGCAGGAACAAGTTTCAGCATCTGCATTTCCACTGTGAGCACAATGAGGGACAAAACAGGTTAGAGCCTGCTTGGCCAAGGGTGGGACTTCTTGGCAGGGAAGGGGAGGGCAGTACATGAATCAGTTACAAGGAAATGGAAGGAGCGGCTTGAAGAGCTGATCTTCCTCCCCTTGCAAAAGGGATACTCTAAGCACTGAGTATCAGGTGTGTGTCTGAGGAAGCCAAGTGAGGGAGCTGGGGAAAGCCAGCTCCTCCCCCAGAGTGGGCGGCTGTACCTGGTGATTAACTCCCAAGCAGAGGAGTGGAGCTCATGCTGAGTCCTGAAGGAACTCGTTGGGAGGAGCTCAGGAGTGCAAGAGGGCCAGAAAAGACCTGGAGTCGGACAGAGGACTAATCCAGCTGGAGAGGCACTTCTTAGCGTTAGCAGCTCCGGTCATGTTCAACTACCTAGCAGTAGAGGTGAGACCCCAGTTCCACCGCAGCTATGGGGGCCAGCAAGGGGTGTCTGGGCCTCTGAAGAGCCGTCTAGAGCAGCTGAAGAAGCCGTGGTGGAGGGAGCCCACCCCGCTGGTGCTCCAGCACAGTGAAACAGCCAGGCTTGCCATAGACGCCTTTCTTGAGCAGGGGGAACGCGGCTACCTGAGTGCCATCGCTGAGGAACGGGAGCTGCCTTTTCTTTCTGCCCTGGACATGGAATATATGAGCCATCAGAGAAACCAAAGCTTTCCAGATCCCAATGCAGTGAAGGATAAAGAGGCTGACTCTGGCGACGCGGACACTGGAGACAGGTCCTCCCTCGACTCTGAACTAACGTCTGGCACCTACTTTCCGCTCATGTCTGATGTGCACCCTCCAGAGCTGGAGCTGGGGTGGCCAGGGATGCCGCTCCTCACGGTGTCTGGCCAGACTCAAGCCACTGTGATTTTCCAAAGAAACAAAGCTAACAGCATTAAGGATTTGCTCCGGTCTCTGATCAGCCGGGCACGGACGGTACGTATAGAGCTGCGTCCCTTGAGTGGGGTTTTGTGCCACAGCACCCGAGTCCTGGTGGCTGGTCCCACAGCTGTACACCAATGCTCCACGCTGTTGCTGCTCTCGAGGTGTCTGGCATGATGTGACTGCTTTTTCTCTAGCAGATCTGTAACTGTTCCTGCTCTTTTCCTTTGCTGTAATTTCTTTCTGCCTGGGATTCCATGTCATACAGGCAGTGCCCTTTATCTGCGGGTATGCAGAGCACGGTACCAAAGCCTGGAGCGAGTGAGTGGCAGGGTGTGCAGCGTTAACGCTTTGCTGTCCTCAGCTGGCAAGCGTGCACCGGCCGGCGCTTCTGCCCTCTGCCAGGGAGTTTGCACAGCCAGGGCTTGTCTCGATCCCTGGACATCATCTTAAATGGGACAAGAGGATACCACTGGTGAGTTGCTGTGGGAGAACATAGGACCTGAGTAAACTTGTGGGACTGAAAATCCCTGTCTGTGGTTTGAAGTAGGTTAGAATACAGCATCGTATCTTCTAGACTTGACATCTGTGCCTCTCTGAGGATGAGTAAGATCAGCCCGTTTTGCCCCATCACACAGTTTCTGCTGGGTAGAGATTGCCAACCCTCGGATGTAATAAAAACTGGACAACTACGATACTTGCCTACCAAGCACAATCGTGGTGTGAATTTACTCACTAAATTATCCTCCTTCTTGTTTCTTTTTAGTTTGCCGCTATACTGTGTACTAAAGCAGCAGCTCGGACAACTGTATCTCAGACACATTTTCAGCTTTTATTGTCTTTGTCCTCTTTACGGTTCTTTTAATCTGTTCCATGTTAATTTGCTTTTGTAGTATTTCATTTCAATAGCATGGCGATACTGAGTAAACTTTTAGTGCAAAGTTCACTTTTAACCAGTCAGCTTCTAGGCAATTTCTCTTATTACCCCGTTAGTTTCTTACTTAACTTTACAGTCACTCCTTAATTTCATTACTGCCTAGTGCAGAAAGCAGGAGATAAAGAATTGTTAAGCACGGACTTCAGTCGTGTCAAGAACACAGCTCAGGCAGGCTGAGCTGAAGTGTTATCTTCTATCACCATCTGCAGCATTGAGCAAACAAAGTTGTGTTGTCCCCAGCAGATGAAACAGGGGCCATGCAGCAGCTCAGATTGCTGTGCAGCTTCGTAGCATCATCAAAGAACCACGTATTGAAATTTGGGCGTGATATGAGGCAAATGGGGATCTTTTTTTCTTTTGTCCACAATAAGACTGCTTTGCCACGTAAGCTACTGCTCAGTTGTAAGCAGGCATTGCTTAATGCCTGAACTTCTGCTGCACCTTTGTAGGCAAATACAGGAAGTTTTGTCCAGAAAATAAGCGACAAAAAGCCTGTCCTGGCAGGCAGCTGATTTATGATATCTTAAATGATCTGAGAAGTCCTGTGACACTTACTGCATCCTTTTCAGCAATGGGGATTAAGACATAGTTATGGCAGAATGCATGTCACTTAGCACATGTCCCGGATCTCTGATGATAATATCCTTTAAACCACGTGAAAAACATCTTCCTGCTTCCTCAGTTCACAGGAACTTCTCTCTTGCTGCAGGGAGGTTGCCCAGCAGTAGGTGCTTTATTGTACTTGAAGTACACTTTGAGCTTTTCACTTTTTTTGCTTGGCTTGAGAAAGCACTGACAAATCTTCAGCCCTTTGTGTTCAAGCTGGGGATTTTCACGCAGTGTTTTTTAACTGTTGCGTGAGATGTGAGAATGAGTTTTCATCCATTTTATTGGTTTATTACTGGTGTTTTACTGGCTTCTAGGTTGGCAGCTCTGGCCAGCACTTCCCATGATTGCCTGTGTGATTGACAGCAGTTCCAGCTCTTTCACAACCCCAGTTACGCATCTTTAAGTAGTTACTGAGCCGTTTGGCTCATCACCCCATCCAAAAGCATGTTACCTGTATGTCTTTTAATGACAAAAGAGCAACCAGAGGTAAAACCATCTTTTGCTTGAAGTGCCAGTAGCAACTGTGTGGAGAACCGCTTGCTTTTTTGCTTTTCAACTGCTGGTTCTGCATTTCAAATATTTTCTCCACTAGACTTTACGCTCTCGTCATAGATCCCTCCTTTAGAGAGTTTCTCCTCCTGAGTGCTTACAGCTAACGTGGAAGGGAGATCCCCGAATGCTTTTCCTGGGTCCTGTAGACAGGAAGGCGTGTGTCTCGAAATGTTGTTTGCTGTTTTCTCCTGTACAGTCATACAGAACAACATCAGCTGACATATTTTGCAACACCATATTTGTACTGACAAATCAGCAAAAAGGGCATTTGTTTTATTGGTACCTTTTGCTGGTGTGGTTTGTCTTTCTATTTTGCTGTATTTAACCAGCTGTCTTTGAAGATGTATTTTCAGATTTGAGCTTTTCTCTTTGCAGACATAAGAAGATGCAGCGCAGCCACACCTTAGCCTTCATTTGATAATACTATTACAATTTTACTTTCGTTGGGTGAGCTCCAATCTATTTTGAACTGTCCATGCCGCTTCTTTCGCCCTTCTTGTACAGCTCTGAGACTGGCTGCGCGTATGCATTTACAGGCGATGGTAGAAGGGTCCCTGATGGTCCCCCAGAAAAGCAATGTATGGCTTTCAAATGGCAACACTACGGTAATGACCAAAACCGCACTGCTATTGGCAAATACCAGTAAAACCAGCTGTGCTGGTTAGAAACCAGACAGATGGCAACCCCAGTGGGGTGCTGGTAAGTGCTGTAATTCCCAAAGTGATGACTGCAGTAATTGCTGAATTGTGAGTTTCCAGAAGTTGATTTAGAAATGTCATGATTTAACCCTACAATGGCAAGGTGTGAATTTTCTAGAGCCTGTGGGGCAGCTGTGTCTTTGCAGTGTCCTGACCGTGGACTTGGAGGCCGTGATGAGCATGGTGAGGAAGCGGGATGCTCTGAGCCAGCCCCAGCCTTGCAGCTTCCACCACTGGAACCGAGGGGCTGGAGGCACTGGATGTGTGTTGCTGAGGTTTGTAAGGCCAGATTGACTTAAATGCCCAAGGCTTTTAAATGTGAGATACGAGTTGTCAGGAGCCTGAATTGGAGATGGTACTTAGGTACCTGACTTCCACTGCTTTACAGAGCTATTGGAACGAGAGCTTTACAGAACGAGAGCTTTACAGAGCTGTTAGGACGAGAGGAAATGGGCTTAAGCTGCACCAGGGGAGGTTTAGGTTGGAAATTAGGAAAAATTTCTTTACGGAAAGGGTGGTCAAGAATTGGAACAGGCTGCCCAGAGAGGTGGTGGAGTCCCCATCCCTGGAAGTGTTCAAAAAACGGGCAGATGTGGCACTTTGGGCCATGGTTTAGTCTGGTCTACCCTTGATTGGCTTAGAGTAGACTTGGTAGTGTAGGTTAATGGTTGGACTGGATGATCTTGAAGGTCTTTTCCAACCTAAACGATTCTATGAAATTATCTTTGAGGCTTTGGACCTCGCTTTTGTGACAATGTGTTCTTCAAGGGGAAGACTTCCAGGGTTATCTTCCCCCAGAAATTCTTGGCTTTGGGGTTGAGCTGATGTTATTATAAGAGCTGCCTGCTTTGTTTACGGAGAGGATATGGTGATCTGAGCGGCCCTTACGGTTCTCCTGTGGCACCCACGCTTAGAATGAGCAGCCCCACCATGGGTGCCTGCATCTCCACCATGCGAGGCTGTGGCAGGGCACAACCTCCCCTCTCTCCCTGCTGCAACGCTCCTCGCTGCAAACTGCAGAGCACACGGGGCTGCCAGCCTTCTGCCCCACATTGGCTGTGGGTGCTTGCCAGCACCACCAGCAGCAATTCTACCTACCAAATCCCTCCTGTGAAGGTATCACACGTGAGGAGGCTGTCAATAGCGCCATAGTCTGTTCCAACTCCTGATGCCAAGCAAAGACCCGCTTTGGAAAACATGAGTCTGACTATCACGCAGGGCTCCACCCAGCTTACACAAGCTGGCGTCCCGCTGCCTGGGGCACTTGCTCCCGCGCTGACGCCGGAGCCCTGCCGTGAGGCTGCCAGGAGATGCAGGTCTGCCTGGCCAGCTGCATCCAGCCCAGGGCACTGGGTGCCACGGGTGACTCTGTGCCACATGCTGCCATGCGCAGCCATGCTACTGCCTGCTCAGCCCCATCCCTCTCACAGCGAGCGCTGCAGGCTGGCAGTGCCATTTCTGGGCAAGCAACAGCCCCGAACTCTGCCAAAGCCTGTGAGCACTGGTAGAGAAAAGCAAGATGATGTGGACCTTCTGTGCACGCTACGCGCAAGCAGTGCCTCTGAGCACGTGGGGTCTGGGGACAAAGGAGCATCGGTGTCTCCTGACTCCAACACATTGACTTCCCAAGCCAAGTTTAGATTGTCTCCAGGGCCAAGCCTGCCTCAGACCTAAGCTTGAGATGAGCTGGAATATTGTGAGGCAAGTGTGGCTGAGAGGGACTTGCCTGAGGCCTTACACGATGCTTGGCCTATAGTTTTTTCTGGGTGCTTCATCGTTAGAGGATGGGTGGCCCATCAGAGTCATTTGGCTAAATTGCCTTTGGTCTTTGGCTGAAGGCCAGTATAGGAAGACATGGTGAAGTCCTACTTTTTTGTGCGGGTCTCAGCGGTACCTAATGCTGATAGCCCAGCAGTAGCATTAATTAGGGAAGCTGAAGATGCTTCTCACTGCTTTCAGAGCCCTTCCAGGGTTGATTCTGCTGCCTGTGCCAGACGGGCACATTTCAGGGGGGGAGAAGAGTTTGCCAGAGCCTCATGAGTCTTCTGGGAAGACAACACTGACACGGGCTACAAAAGAGGTGCCCTTCGGCGTCAGGCTCTGAAGCCTGTATCTCCCAGGGCCAGGGTGAGAGGGTGGAGATGTGGTTTTGGCCTGGACAGTAGGAATGATTGTTAGCTCTTGATGACAGCTGCCTTGTGTCCCATGTGGATGCCTGGGATCACACCAGCCTCCAGGAAAGTTCTTCCCCAAACCCCACTGTGGTCTTCTGCAAGATGTTGAGGATGAATGACAGTGTGTAAGGCATCATCGCTGAGATGGTCTTTGGGAACAAATCAGATAGAGCCAAGAAATCTTGTCCATCTGCAAAAGGGATAAATCCCCAAGGCAGCAGGAAGCAACTTTTTGGCATTGCTGCCATCTCTGCCATGGCTGCGGTGCAGAGGGTCTCTCCATGGTGTGTGCAGGCAGAGCGGGGCAGGAGAGCATGGGGACGCCAACGGGGCCCCTCTCTGCCCGTGGCAGCTGCCTCCACTCTGCACCTAGGCCATGATGGGCCTGGAAAGAGGCAGTTTATTAATGAAAACAGAGCAGAAGAGCTGCTGGGCAGTGGGCGATCTGGGGCCAGCGTGCCAGTCTGGACCAGAGACATGTCCCCACATCCAAGGGCAGTGATACTTGGAGCTCCTCTACTCTTTCCTGAAGCTTCACCCCAAAACTCAGTGCTTTTTGGGTCATCTTTATTTGGGCATTCTCTACTAGGTGCAGAAACTCAAAATCAGAGTTATGCACACAACTCACAAGTATCAAACAGTTATTATTTACTTATTTACTGCTAAGATATGGTAAAGACTGGGACTAATGTACTTGGTCACTAGTTCCATTATTTTTTCAGCTTTTGAAATGAAGCTGGCCTGTTGGTAAATACTTGACTGCTTTACCTTTTTCAGTCCTGCAGTGTGTTGCCATCTTCCATGAGTTCTCAATGTTAACTGTTAATGGTTCAAGGTCTAAGTCATGGGATTGCTCTGCAAGCACCCTCAGGTGAGTGCATCAGGCCTGAGAAATCATCCAGCTCAGCAAGTGCTCTCCTGCCTGTTCCTGCCTTCTCCAAGATGTCCCCCTGATTCCTGTCACTAATGGTGATGGCCAGCAGATGGATCCCAGCAGTTCCTTCCTGATCCAAATAATGGATCAAATAATGCCTTGATGTTGTCTGCTGGCAGCCTCACTCTGTGAGGAACAGTGGAACAGCTTCTCCAGTCATGTCTTAATATTTACTGATGATTGATCCGTTGTTCTGGTTGCAGGTCATACTGTACTTTGAATTTTGTAGTTCTGGGTCAACTCACTTGTAGTAGGTACTTGTCATGACCTACCTTCTAGTTTTTGGAGAATTCCTTTAGCCAAGATGGTCTGCTGCCTCCCATCCCGTCTCCACAGTGGGATGGGTTGTCATGGCCACCTTGAATCTCATTCTTTAAAGAACTGGCAGTTCTCTTTAAAATTATTTTCCCCTTTAAAACTCCTCCCTTGGAGACCTTATCTTGCAAGTCTTCAGTTTATTGAGATAGACTTTCTTGATTTTTTTTTTTTTATTTTTTTAAAATATTGTTAGTGTTATTCCTTCTTCCTACTGTTGGGTTTCATAACTATCGCTTGCATCCTGGGCTGCGTTAGCAGGAGTGCTGCCAGCAGGGAAAGGGAAGGGATCCTTCCCACGCATGTTATTCTACGATGTTGCCTAGTCACCCCTAGGATGTAATCCTGGAACAAGGACATGCACGTACTTGATCAAGATACCTTCTCCCTTACCTGGCAGTGTGTCCTTCCTGAAAAAAATGATACTTCTTTATATTAATATGCTAGTGATCTGTGGAGTCACTCATACTGATGGAATAATGATTTTGGTCAGTTTTGGCTCTTCCGTTTATATGCTGTATTTCTGGCCTATTTGCTTAAGGCAATACATACTTGTTGCATCAGTGGTATTCAGAGTTTGTGCACATGCATTAATTACCCTTTCAGCTATTTCTTTCTGTGACTGACAGATGAGAGAGGAGGTAGCTGGATGGGGAATGCTGTCATAGTTATTAGAAGTGATTTTATCTGCCATGGTGGGGTGAGGGCTGTTAAACACAAAAGTCCAGAAGCAATCTCCACTCATGCGGTCACAGGCGCTCAGTAACTCAGGAGGTTTGAATACTTAATTCATAGTTTAAAGCACAATTCACTTGGGCGTGAAATTTCAACAGTCTCTTGTTTTTTTTCCTCCCCACCTCTTTTCTCCTGGCTAGGTGATAGCAATTGTGATGGATCTGTTTACAGACATGGAAATACTGTGTGACCTGCTGGAGGCCTCAAGCAGACGGCACATCCCCGTTTACCTGATCCTGGATGAAAAGTACTTGAAGCATTTTGTGGAAATGTGCAATAAAATGGCTCTTACTGAGGACAGCTTCCCAGTAAGTTTTCAGTCACACGCTGGATATGATAAACAGGTCTTGGAATCAATGAAAACCAGGTACCCTGTGTTCTGTTCCCTCTGCCTGGTGCCTAGGACCTATCCTTTCTCCCACTGTCCCAGGCTAAGAGACCGTGGCTGTTTGGTCTAGGAAGTTGAGATCTGTCTAGAAGCACAGGGGAAGGAGTGGGGGAGCCTCCTAGTCCCATATCTTGACGTTTTGTGGTCCTCATTTCAGTTTTACACGCAAGAAGTGTGAAGTCAAGGCCAATAAGATGCAGTGCCTTACTGAACGCTTTGCTGGGCTGGTGCAGATAGGCAGACAGAGGTAGACCAGCAAACTTATATTCATGTGGACCTGGATGATCTCCTTTCCTTGTCCCCTCTCAGCCCCTGCTCTAGGACATAGAATTGCAAGGCTTAAATTGCTCATAATTTGGATCGCTGAGCTCAGTTTAGATTCTGGCCAGAGCTGCTGTAGTGCAATAGCTGGGTGGGGAAGGGGAATGGTGAGTCCCTTCAGATGTCCTGATGCAAAACCTACCATTTCCTCCTAGCCCTGCTGCACCGCCTCAGTGTAAAACCACATGTTAAAAACCTCATGTTAAGAGCTGCTTTTAGGCTTTGCAATTCAGTTGTGGGTTCATGAGGGATTTGTGAGGAGCCCGATTCCCCGCCCAGTGGGGTGCCCATCAGCAATGGTGTGTGGTTGCCCAGAGCAGGCAAACAATAAAAATTAATGTGTCAGTGTGACAAGCTCTCTTGGGAACTTGCAGACTCAGAAATGCACCCCAGCATCTTGCTGCTCCCCATATAGCCTTTCTGGCTACCACCTATCAACGGAAGTTGGTTTTTTGTTGTCATTTGTTAGTCCTGCAAGGCCAGCAGTCCTGGCTGTGCTCCTTCACCCGGTGCACAGGATTCCCTGGACTGATTCTCTTCCAGCCACCGATTTCATAGGTTTTCCCTTCATCTTGGTGGGGACTGCTTGGAAGTTATCCAGTTACCTCAAAGCCATTCTTAACTAAAAAACAGGCTAGGGAAAATGCAAAAATAATGTTTTACAGCATTCAAAATAGATGCAGTTACAAATGTCTTAATTTCCCCTCATTTTTAACCTGTCTGCACAAAGATTAATTTAGAGAGGCTTCTTTCCCCTGACGTTGGTGATGCTCTGTCCTTTCTTGCTTCTCGCAAGCCAGACCCATTTCATCCTGCCTCTTGAGATGGTGACTGTTAGGGAAAACTGCTTCATGCTGGAGCGTGTTTGCTTTCATGAACAACTGCATCACTGAAGTTACCTGGTGGATCCAGATAGATTCTATCTCTCCAAAATGCATTTTATTTGCTTCTTATCCAAGAGCCTGGCCATTGTGTTTAATTAAAATTAGAATGAGTTTACATCCATGGAGATGTCTACGTCCCTTTGTTAGACCTGATGTCATCTCTTGTGCTTGAATGGCTAATTAACGCTTGCCTCCCCCGTTCAGTGACTCATTGGCAGGTCTCAATGAGAAGTGCCTCTTAAGCTGATGCATCTCAAGCAGTGCATTAACATACATGCTTGATATTCACATCTAAGTGGAATGAGTGTACATACTTTATTCCTGGCTCTGAGGTGCGACAGGATGTGATGGTAAATCTCTATTTGGAATAATTGGTGACTATTTGGGGTTTAATGGGGAATTTGGGGCAATTGCCCCTCCAGCATCTTACTTCTAAGAACATTGTGTGAGCCTGCTGGTGTCAAATCCTGGTGCTGAACATCAGCAAATCCCACAGTGGTGCATCGAGCATTGGCAGCGGTCACAGCAGAAGACTTAACTGTTGGATTTTTTCAAATGGCCATCTGCTGAACCTAAAACTACTGTCTAAATCGAGTGAGAGTGGTACCTGGCAGTCTGGCTTTCCTGCAAGACTGTAGGATTCTCATCTTATTTGGACAATTCAGGACCTGGATTGCCAAGAGGACAAGAGGATGGAAAAAATGAGCCAGATATCAGAAACTCGCCCAGCCTTGGAAAGGATAAAGGGAGTGAAGAAATAATGTGGCAACAAATCTATGGGATATCCCTTACTTGAAGTGGTTTTAACTTCCTGGGGCAGGGAGAGGAAGCTCCTCCCAGGGAGAACTAGTATTAGTTAAACCTCAGCACTGGAAGAAAAAAAAAAAATCCCTGTGTTGATTTGCAGCAGGATTAGGTGAACACCTCCCCAGGCACCCAGCATATCTTGCTTTATATCAGCAACTCGTGGTGGCATTTCAGAGTATCACAGGTTAATGCAAGTTAGCAGGGACCTCAGGAAGTCATCCAGTCCAACCTCCCGCTCAAAGCAGCATCACCTGTGAGGTCAGAAATAGTTGGTCAGGGCCTTCTGGTCTAGTCTTGAAAACCTCCAAGCATGGAGACTGCACAACCTCTCTGGGTAACTTCTTCCAATGCATAACTGTCCTTATGGGGAAAAAGTTTCTCCCTTCTCATAGGTGACAGATGAGGACATGTTCTGGGACACAAGAAGGCAACAAGTGAGAGCCCCAGTGCAAAGATTGTGAAGCTTCAGCTCTGTCCCTGCTAAAAGTTTCCATGAACTCAAGAGAAGACTCAACAGGTATTTGGAGAAGAAGTCCAGGGGAGGTTCCCACTAAGACAAACCACAAGAGGCTCAGGAAATCCCCTGAGCAGAAAACAGTCAGCAGCAGTATTAGGTGGCAGCATCATAAATGATTGCCGCCTTCCTGCTCTTCCCCAGCTGCCATTGCCCATGGCGAGGGAGAGGCTCTTGGGTCAGATGGACCCCGGTCTGGAGGAGATTTGCTGCTGTTACGAAGCCCCGAAGGCAATGGTGCTCCTTGGGTGGGCAGGGAGGCTTCCTCAGCGCGATGCGAGAGTCAAGCCTTTCCCACCCTGCTGCGACGAGCTCCCCAGCAGATGTTTCCGGGAAGCCCACCTCCTGCCCTCAGGGGCTCTGACGGAAGAGGAAGGCCAACAGGAATGGAGTCACCTGCTGCAGGGTGACCGCCTCCCGCTCCTCGCCCCCGAGGCACAACTTCCGCGCCGTGAACCCTGCATGAGGCCAGAGACTGGGC